GTGTGTGTGTGTGCGTGTGTGTGTGTGGGTGTGTGTGTGTACATGTGCATGCGTATGTGTGTGTGTGTACAGGTGCAAACAGAACGGTCATGAACAAGCATGTGTGAGTCTTTGTTGAGCATGTGTGTGAGCATGAATGAATGTGACTGTGTGTGTGTGCGTGTGTGTGTGTGCGTGTGTGTCTGCACGTGGTGGTGTGAATGCGCACAAGTGCACATATGAGCGCGCACGACAGCACACCAAAACAATTCGTGCCGCTCACGTCATGCCTTGCTGTCTTGTTTCTGGTCAGCAAACAGACATCATCTCATTCCACAACGAAGCAGGCCTTCCGAAACCATGGACGAAAGCCGTCAGGACCAAGTGCAGCGCACGCACCAGGCCGCGGTCAGTGAAGGATGGCACAGTCACCTGCAGTGCGAGAGAGAGTGTGTGTGAGTGTGTGTGTGTGTGTGTGTGTGCGTGAGTGCAAGTGTGTGTGTGTGTGTGTGTGTGTGTGTGCAAGTGTGTGCGTGTGTGTGTGTGGTTGCGTTCGCAGGTGCAAGGCAGGATAGTGCAGCCATGTGCGCAGAGCCTTGTAAACACCAAAGACAAAGACATCACCACACAGTCCATATCTCCCAAAACACACACACGCACGTCACACTCACTCTCACACGAACGCGTTTGTTCATCCCTCTCGCCCCTCAACCTTCCCTCCACGCCATGCGTACCTGTGACGCCGAATGTGCAGGACACGCGCGCTGGTGCTGAGGATGGCAGCCACAACCACAACCACGATCACGACCACGACCGCCTTCGCTTTCGCCGGCGTCTTCGTCGCGCTCTCCGCCGCGTGCTGCATCGCATCCGCGCTCACCGTCGCCGTCATCATCGCCCTCGTGTCATCAATCGCCAACGCAACCCATCCCCCCCAGCGCAACCAGAGCACCACCCCGCCGCCACCACTCCGCGACCACACCGACACCCAGCCGCGCCACCACCACCACCACCACCAGCAGCAGCCTGACGATGGCGTGCACGCTCCACCAACACCACGCCCTTCTCCTCCTCGCTCTCCTCAAGTCAACCGCCCCAACGATGCTCAGCGCACGGCCATCACGACAGCCCCTGTCGCCACACCACCACCACCACCACCAGCAGCAGCAGCACGCCTGGTGCCACCTCCCCGCGCTCTGCCTTCGCCCCCTCCATCGCCACACTTGGGCGAGTTCATGATGCCCGAGCCACACCCCATAGCACGACCACCATCGCCACCAACACCGCCAACACCGCCATCACCAGCGTCCCCGCGGCACTACTTGGGCCAGTTCATGTTTTTCTACGGCGAGCCCCACATCACCTCCTTCGAATGACACACCATCCATCCTCAACGCAGCTGCTGCTGCTGCCGTGGCAGGGATGCTCTGTTCTGCTGGTGGTGGCTCTTGTTCTTGCTATGCATGTCGGTACCTGCGACAGTAAAACAAGACACACCACCACGCAACGAGAACGGTGCATGCACAAGCAGGGTTGAGAAGAGGGGCGGGGATACATGTGCAGATGTGAGACAAGGGAGTGGCAAGGACACAATGCAAGACAACATGAAGATACATGGAACGACAAGAAAGCAGGGTGCACAACACAACCATACGCACTGCCACCACCAGACACACCACCAATATACCTCGTTGCATGGTCTTGGTCTTGATGGGCCGCCGCTATCTTGATGGGCAGTCGCTGTCTTGATGGGCAGCCGCTCGCACATGTCAGCGCCGCGCTGTTGGACAACAACAGCAACAGTCACAAAAACAAGAGCCAGGTCACACACATGCATGCACGCACGTACGTGAGTGTTAAGTGGCTGGGTGTCTGCTTGCAGGCAAGTGTTTGCTCATCCACCGTCAAGTCGACAGGGAGCGCGCTCGCAGCAGGAACACAACAACATAAAAGAAAACCAGGACAACCGCAACAGTAACGGCCGATGCCGCGCGTTCAAAGCAGCCTGAAAATGACGAAACCGGCCATTGAAAAAATTCACCCCCCACTCCCTTCCCCCCTCATG